TTATTTTTTTTCTCTTCTTCTTCGTTTTTTAAAAATATATTCTTCAATAGAAGAAAGTATTTATGTAATAACTTTAAATTATTTAAACATTTTCGAAGAAGAAAAAATTTAATTAATGATATTTATTTTTAATATTTCTTCTAAGAATTTCCTTTTTTTATTAAATTTATATTAGAATTAAGGAATCATTCATTAATTTTTTTATGAACATTTAGAATAAATACATAAATAAATATGAATTTATATAATTTTATTAATGTGTCCTGATTTTCTGATGTATAATTCATCTCATGTTTTGATATCCATTATCTAATGGATTTTCTCAGCAGAGGTTTAGATATTAAAGAATAAAATATTAAATGTAATTAATTTTTATTCTATATCATATAAATATTCTTAATAAAGAAGAATATCTTAATATTAATATATATTTATTACTATATTATATAGAAATTAATACGTAATATAGATAGACTGTCTTATCTTTTCATTTATTAACATTGATGATAAATATTTTACTTATATATTTTTTTAAATTAAGTTTATAATTTAAACATTTTATTCTTAATTAATGTATAAATTAATTAAGATTATTATCGATTAAATAATTTTTATTTAGATAAAATAATATAAAAACTAAATAAATTAGTTTTATTTTCTAGCTTCACTGAAGAAATATAAATAAACAATTTTTTTCTATAAATAATTTTCTTATAAAACAAATTAAAAACTAAAAATTAAAATTACTTTTACATAAAATTTATACATTTTTAAATATTTTTGTAATTATAATTAACAACAAATTAATTCTATAAAAATCAAAACATTATTAATGTTAAAACATAATGGTTAAAAAATATTTTCATATAATTTAATATAAAAATTTCCTAATAACTTATTAAAGTTTATAAGTTTAAAAAAATAATAAAATAAACTTTAAATTTTTCTTTAGAAATAATTTATTTAAAAAAGAAACTTAATTATATTTATAAAAATATAAAAGAAATTTATTCAATTGTAACAACAAAATATATATAAATTATTTTTTAAAATTAAACAATATATAAATAAAATTTATCTACATCGTTAATATTAATGAAACATTTGATTTATTATATATTAAATATTTATTTAATACAATATATTTTTAAGGGAAAGGAAAATATAACTTAAATATTTTCATTAAATTTTTTTTAATATATATCAAAATCAGTAAGATTCTAGTAAGTGGAAATAAACATTTATTTTCTTTTCTGAAACATAAAAAGACATTTATTTGCTATCGTAATATCATTTACACACCAATGGAGAAGAGGAGCGACGTGGAGTCTGTTGCCATGACAACATGGGATTGGAATTTTGCCAAGTGCAGTGAATGGGATGTTTCGAGTTACTCAGTTTTACGAAACAAGAGAGAAAGAAATTGATCGCTAGTTCGCTACAACCTTTGCTTTTATTGCTTTGCTTTAATACAAACTTCCACCTCCCAGCGGTAGAAAATTATACTAAAGAAAATAACATTTATAACAAATGAGGAAACAAGTAATAAATAAATAGGTAATACTAAAAAAAAGTAAAAAACAAAAAAACAATTAATTTTACTACAAGTTTAAAATTTATTTATTTATTTTCATTTCAAATTTTTTTTACTGAAAATAAACTTTAAATAGGTTATTTTTAGTTATTATTTTTACAACATTTTTTTACGTTGTAAAAAAAAATAAAGTTGAAGAAAATAGTAAATAAATATTAACTAAAATTGCAATAATTTTATTGTACTTTTAAACAAATTTAACTTTAATTTCTTAACAGTTTTGCTTGATTATTTATACATTTAAAAAAAGCGTTTAAATAATGATTTTTAATAACAATAGTTTATCAATTTTACGACTTTTTCTTCGATTTTATTTCTTTAAAAAGTAGAAAATTAATTGTTTTAAATAAAATTAGTTTTGTTTTTTTTTATTTTAAGGTTTAAACAATCGAAAAAAATCATTAGAAAAAAAATAAACAGTTAAAAAATATATTTAAAAAAATTTTTAACGATTATTTAAGGTCTTATTTTACAATAAAGTTGCTTTATTTCATTGTATTTTTTTAGAAAATTCAGGTTTTGAAAGTCTTCTAACAGCTTTGTCTGATTGTTTAGTGGCATTTAAGTGGAGATAAGTAACGTAAAGATCTGTAAATTCTTAGTGACTTCGTTGGATACATCTGAGAAATGTCTATTGACAAACTGTATCTTCTTTTTTATTTTTCTATTTTTTTTATTGGAATGGACATGGATCAATATGATTTTATAACGTTGAAAGGAATAAATTTACGATCTCGTTATAAGAAAAGATATATTTATTAATAGAAAAAAAATTCCTCGTATTTTATAANTAATTAAGTTTACAGTTTAAATTTTTTTAGATATAGAATTAACATAAAAGTTAATAAGGTTTAAACCTTAATTTTAATTTATTACGTAATTTAGTGTAGTAAATAAATAAATTTATGAATTTATATCACTTAATTGTATTGTATTTAAATTATATATATATTTAAAAAGATTTGACGTATAGAACGAAGAAAAATATGAAAAAATAGAATAGAAGAAAATAAGTATCATTTAAAATTGAAGAGCTGTCAGCCTTGGAAGCTTTCAGGAAAGAATCTTTGATGAAATTGTGGTCTTGCTGTCATTTCAGGTAAAATTGGCACTATAACCATTTTAAGTAAAGTTATGGCTTTATTATCGTTTTAAGTAAAATACTGGCATTATCATAATTTTAAGTAAATTTACCACAATGCCATCATTTCTATATACTTGTTAAACGATCCTTATTTTAAACAGAATAAATTTTTCTCTGTTATATATTTAATAAATATTACAAAATTATTACAGTGTTGTTGAATCATTTTATAGAAGATTTTTGCTCTTCCAAATTCAATTTTTTTATACTTTTCCTTCATCTTTCAGTCAGTTTTAATAGAAATTTTCCACTTTATAATATTATCTTAATTATAATTATTTATTGAATAAAATGCTATTTTAATTATAAGTAGTTTTTATATATTACAATTTTTATATTAATTGATTTATGTATTATTTCCTTTTATAAATGTATAAAATATAATTGAAAAAATAATCGATTATAAATCTATATTAAAGCGAATATATTTAAAATATTTTAGTGAAAAAATTAACTTTTTTTTTAACATATTTTCTCTCAAAATTCATTTTATAAAATAATACAAAAAGCTTATTATTAATTATCTTAATTTAAATCATTAAAAACATATTACACTACTGAGTAATGTTATTAAAATTATAGTCTGTGTGATTGTCTTTGTACGCTGCTACGATATAACAAGTGCAATATTGTAGTGTGTATCTACTAAACTATCATTACAACGGTAATAGCTATAGAGTTTTCTGATTGATTGCTACTATTTCAACTAAGAAATTACATCCAGAAAATGCCATATTACCGTTTACTCATGGACACACATACAAACTTATATCGCTAATATTAAAATGAAAAGCAATTTTGATATTTTGACAGTGGAAGAATATGTAAATAATTAAAACTAGCGAATTTAATTATTATTCGCATTATGCAAATCGGATTTTAGTGAACATTAATTCCATCTGAACGCATTTGCAACCATCAAAACCATTAAAATAACGATTTTCCAACTAAAGAGAAAGCTTTTAATATTTGATAAGATTTACAAAAGGAGGGAGAGAGAGCAAAGCAAAATAAATAAATAAATAAATAACAGTAAAAGAAAGTATTACTTTAACTAGATAAATAAAATCGTCATTACTATCGCGTTTCTTATATATATATATTTGATAGAAAATAACATGAATATAATTTACTTTTTTATATCTAAAATTGAGAATTTAAACCCCTTCAGCTATTATTTTCATTTGATCAAACTTAAATATAAAATAAACTGTAATGCAAAACAACAAGATTGCAAACCTGTTTAATGATTATATGAAATAACAAGAATTCGTTTTATTTGAAAAATTCAATAATTTATTTTCTCTTTACATTCCTGAAAAGAGGGGAGGGAAGGAAACGAAAGTAAAAATTGAAAAAGTAAAAGAAAAATCCATTTGCTTGTATAAATTATTAGAAAAATACTTTCACTCACTTTCATTATTATTTAATAATTTAAAACGAAAAAAGAATTAAAAATAAAAATACAATTTCTTCCTTCTTTTTTCTTCTTCTTATTATTATTTTCTTTCAAAAATACTTTTAAATTATTTACTTTTTACAAAAAGGTGTTTACGATTAAATATCAATTTTTTATTATGTTTTCGAACTTAAATATTTTAAATATTAATTTGTTTTCCTTGTTATATATAAAGAATTTCTATTCTGTAATATATAAAAAGAAATATTTAATATTAAATGAAATTGCATTATGATATTCATTGTTAAATTTTTGTAAATAATTAAATATATCAAATTCAAACCAAATCTNCCATCGTCGCTATAAGGCAGCACATATATCTCAAAGCGCCCGTAAAGTGCCCGCAAAACGCGCGTTTTAACAAAAATCTATAAACGCGCGTTTAACGCGCGCTTGGCGTTTGAGTGTATACGGCTACATAGAACTCTTGGTTCTTTAAAACGCGCGTTGAAAAACGCCTAGTGTGTACAGGGCCTTAAATAAAAGGTGCGAAAATAGTAATAGGCTATATATTGTTCGTTCGTATACGATGGAGGTATAATTTTTTATGTTTAAATGTGGATTGTCATAGCTTAAATTTCGATTCGAATAAAACAAAACACGGCTTCTTTCCTAATTTTTTGTTAGCGCGTGTTATTCGGTCTTACCGATTACGAGTTCGCTAGAGTTTCGGTCGGCCGACGTGTTCCCGCCGCTGGATTTCTCAGCTCGATTTAAAAGGCCAACTTTATTTTTTATTCGAAAAGAAAAAGAACAAAGTTCTGCCGACTTTTCCCAAATACCGGGATTTTCTATACCGAATCGTAGCGGCGAGCTTCTTACAAATGGCTCGAGAAAATAAAAAAGACGTTTCTTACCTTTGCCAATTCGTCGGAATTTGATATCTTTTGCGTTAAGATTTCCATAGAGGCTTTAAATCTGTCGGAACTGTTAACGTTTAAAATTTTCAATTAATTTAAAGTAAATTAGAAAAACGTGTGGAGCGAAGTTTCTAGGCGAGAAAGAGTACGCACTTTTCTAGCATTCTGCTTCTTTCGGTTGTTATAACGTCGAAAACGACTTCCCACTTGCTTTGGTCCAGAATGCTATCGATTACGAACGGCAGATACTTGGGCTTCTTGAACAGAGCGGCGTTCAACACGCTGAAAATAGAATTGTCCCACTCAAACGTTGGCATTTTTTACGCCCGTCGATAAACGGCGCGGGAAGTTACCTACCGATGGAGGTTGTATTGGTTGTTTACGCATCCCAGAGCGTAAATCACGTCGTCCGAGGGAAATTTTCCTCTTAGGCTTTTAAAGTAGTTTTCCACCTCTTCCCACCTGAAACTCTCGTTTCTGATCGCCGTGCACAGGAACAATTTCACTAAGGGACGGTCGTTCCTGAAATTAACACGAGTCGGATATAAAGCCGTTCTTCGAGAAAATTCGTGGGTCCGGAATTCTTTGCCTTTTCTTTTTTCTAGGAATCCGGAGGTCAATCCGCTCCTCTTCCTCCCTTTCCCACCGATATCGGAAATTCGGCCTAAAATGTCGTAGAAAAATTCTTTTCGCCCCGGAAAGATTTTTAAAAAAAATTACGGTCTGTCTCGGAATAATAGTACTGTACATCTTAGTGAAGATGCAAATATTTATGGTCATATTTTCTAAGTTATTTTTATCTTAGCGGCGACAAGTATTGACACGCCATTATTATAATCCGTTAAGATTGAATTATAAACTCCGTATCGCATCCGTATGGCCGTATTGTATTCCGAAAGAAAAGTTTGGATGGGGAGAATCTGCGGACTACGCACGGGCCGAGTCGTCTTTCGATCGGAAGTCGAAGGCCGGAAGTAGCCAAGACCCGGACGGATCGGGAACTCGACGGAAACGGACAAGAATACGTGGCTATCGGAAATTACTACGGTATTAATAAAAAGCGAGAAGACGGGCAGTGTCGACGGCAAGTGCGTCTCATCGATAAAAATAGACCTTTGAAAAATATAAGATTTAAAGTAAGAGTTATTTTGGTCGTAAAGAATAGAAATAAACAATAAATGAATAAATAATTAGAGTGTAGATGGTAGATCTGGCAACAACAAACGGACACACTTTCTCCCGTTTGCATCAAGAGTGCGCGTGCCTAAGGCGATCTGTCCGGTACACCGTGTCTTACGATATTTCGTAGCTACTGCTGTACGTACCGTACCAGCGGATACGGATACGGATACGGTTACGGTACGGACATTACAACCCTTTTAAGATATAAATAAAGTTAACCTTACTTCTACGATTAACAAAAGTCGAATACTTTATTGGGGAATTTGTTTAAAAATAGGGCTTAGTGTATTTTAAAAAATTAGAAATAAACTTGTAGAAAACTTACGTTTAAGAAAAATAAAGTTTGCACTTTCGTTTTCGATTGGCTTCGGAATTTATCATTTACACTGGCGTATACATTTGACGACAAATTGCTTTAGGAAGTGGGCAATTTTCCCGAAGTAATTGATGCTTCTACCACTTCTATCCCTTAGAATTTGTCATCCAGTTTAAACCGATCGGAATAGGGATGTAAGAATTCGGCCGTTATCGGGATCGTCGCGCCCGAATATAATTTTTTTAAAACGCCTTTTACCGGCACGTGCCAAATTTTACAGCAAAGTTTTACCTTTGTTCGATTTTGTTACTTTTTTTATAGTTTCGACCTTTTTGAGGCCGCGGAAAATACGCGAAATCGTGATACGAACGTGCGCGGAGTACCGTACGTACGCAATATTTCATTTATTACTAAGGTAATTTCGGTTTCGTATAATTAAATAACAGAAAATCGCTTCTTACCTATGAATGTCCTTCCCACGCTTAATCCATTCTTCGTACTTTTCTATGGCTAAATTTACGCAAGAAGATTCGTTAACGGAACAAATTCCGCTCAAAATCTCTTTCTTCAAAGTTCTGTAAGTTTATAAATATTTAATAATTTCTTCCGATAATTAGTGAGAGGAAATAAAAACTTTACTTACAATTTGCTATGGCTAAATTTACGCAAGAAGATTCGTTAACGGAACAAATTCCGCTCAAAATCTCTTTCTTCAAAGTTCTTGAAGTTTATAAATATTTAATATCCATAAAAGCTGAATTATAAAACATGTTTGTACAGCATAAAATCTCGAATAATAATGATAATTAAAGAAGAAAAAATTGCATTTCTATATAAATAACTGGACAATAACCTCTTATTTAGAAAATTAGAGAAAGAGAGGGGGAAAGGAAAATATATCTTGACATTTGCTTTACTTCTTAACGACCATAATAGGTAGTTCATTCAGTAATGTTTGCTTTTATACATAATAACCTTTTATTATTTTCAGTTGCTAGGCAACGCATCAATGAAAAGATGTTGAGAAACACTCGGAACAAAATATCAGAATTTGAATTAATGATTCAATTTAATGCCATTATCTATGTTAAAAAGAAAGGAATATAAAAAGAATAATGTATATAAAAAGTATTCTGTACTTTAGTAAACTCTGAATTGCAAAATATAATAAGAATGGACATTTTTTTTAATCAATTTAATCAGATTTTTTTAACCTAAAATTTCTTTTTTTTAAGATTTAATCGTTCGAAAAAGTGAGGCTTTTCATTGTAAAAATAAATTTTATGTAAAATATATATATATATATATTAANACTAATTTTAATTATTTTTTTAAAATATGAATTTAATTTTATTACTCAATTAAATATTAAAAATAAATCAATAGTTTAATGTAATTAATAATTAATTGAGTTTACATACAAAGTATAATTACAATTATCTTAATTAAAATTGAACTTTTATTATTATTAAAAACTTAATTTTTAAATTTACATTAAAAATATTGGTTTCTATAAGCGTACTCGATACTGTATATTTCACTTATATACGTATCAATGTTATAGTATACATACATTGTACATATAAATACATAGGCATGTATATATACGACAATATGTTATCATACCATCAATGTGTATCGTATGATTATATGACATTAATTCAATTTTAATGAGAATAAAATGTAATAAAAATTTAATAAATTATTCGAATGAGTAAATAACTTGGTAATTTATAATTTTAATAAGATTCTTTATTTATTTTAAATTATTTTATTTAAAAATTTATAACGTTTTCAATTTTTAAATATTAACTAAACAATTGATATCGCGTACATAGTACATAATAGCATTTTTATTTTTATAATAATAAATATAATATAAAAATTATATAAATTAGATTATTGGACATAAGTACAGCCTTTATATAAGTATTTTTTTTGTAAAAATAATATAAATTAACGTAAGAAACTGTTAATGTAATAAATTATAAGAGATTATAAAATGCATAAACTACACTCTTATTATCCACGCTCAATTATTTATATACAGATTATTACTTCAATAAGTTAAACATGTAAATGCTCATATTCATTAATTTTCTCTTCGTCACATATTTTTTTTAAACATGAAAAAAAATCAACAGATTTTTCCCCCTTCTCCTTAAAGATGTAAAGCAAGATAAACAGTAATGGATAACATTTTCATTACCTTCAGTAGAAAGCAGTAATGTCAAGACAAACTCTGTTCTGCTCGGATCTGTTGATTGAACGTCAATAAAGAGGATTAGAGTAGACATTGTACGAAATCCAATCTCCAGTTTCATGTAGGAAATGAACCAATATATCTGATAATAAATGGTCCATAAAATATATTCTGTTTCGTATTGCTGGCGACATTTTTTTTTAATTTTATTTTTTTATTTTCATAATTCTTCTTTAAACTTAAAATCACTCTTCTCTTGGTTTGTTTATATTATGTGTACGTGTTTAATATTGTATATAAGGACATGAAAATTTAATATTGTAGATAGAAAAAATAATATTGAAGATATTGCTTGAGTTTACAGAAATTTCACTGCTGTAAAATTCATCATTTTATTATTATTATTTTTTTATTTTGTTGAAAGGTTTGATGTATCAATTCTTCTGACAGAATTTTTATGGGCATTAAAATAATAATGTTATTTAATTGTATTAATGTATTAATTAAAATGAAATTAAGTGTGTTAGAAAAGGAGAAATTTTATTTAATTTATTTATGTTATATATATATATATATATTA